ATCTTATCTTAAACGTCAGTGGCCAAGCAGCCACATTTACTGCTAATACGTTCAAACGTGTTGTCGACACGTACAGCAGTGGCCAGCATGTCAGCTGACTTTTTCTCCGAAATACTGTCACATAACATCCATATATTTCAGTGCTAGGTTGATGCTTAGCTAAGCTAACACTTGAACTGACAGGACTCAGGATCAACTGTGTAAGGTAGATTCAAGCTTCATGTCGAACAGTAAGTCAACATTTTCCAGAGAGCTTTCTTTGAAATCACCAGGTCACGCTAAAAAACATTACATTTAGATTGTTTGACAAAGTGTTTATTTAATATATCTGGCTAGCTATAGCTACTTGCTAATGGTTTAGCTTACCCCCCGTGATTCAAAGTAACGTCAACGTAGCTGTAATTTATGCTTTGCTTACATGTTCGCATAACTTGGAAGTTTACTGACATTTACATACCTTGTTTACCTGGCTCAGGTGGTGGCTCTGGGGTTGTTGTGTGAGCCACCACTTGAGAATTGTCGTATTTTTTAAGAAAATGTTTTCTTATGTCCATCTTTAAAAACTCTGAGTCCGACTGACAGTTTAAACATTGTCACAGCTCACAGGATAGGTACCTGTCAGCCAATGAGACAGATGTTTATTTCCATTCAACTCTCTGGTTGGTCTGGTGGTGTCTTGCCTCTGTTGCATTCACTGAACACGGGAAATTACAATCCTGCCGTCCTCTCTAGTGTCATGATGAGGTTCAGGTAAAGCACTGTTATGACTTTGAGAGTAGGCAATCTAGGCATATTAACAAAATTAATTAAACATACTTATCACGGTGACGGTGTACTGAGATCATTATTTTATTTTCTTCCATTTTTTTTATTGTTGCTAGGGGGCCCCTTAGTGGCTGCGGGGCCCTAAGCGGCCGCTTATGTCGCTTAATGGGTCGGGCCGGCTCTGGCTGGATGCTCTGACCATTCCACTTCCTGCCCGGCGCCTCTGCAACGCCTCGCGTCGCAAATAGACTTGCATCCTATTTTTAGCGGAGCCCAGCGCCGAGACGCTTCTGGGACGCTTCTGAGCCGTAACGCGGCGCGTCTGGTGGAATAGCACCTATTGGGTGTTTCTCAATATCGAGTACGCTTGCTTGGTAACACATGTCTTCCGAGCGTCTTGCTTCAAAAGCGAGGCAAGAATACTTCCTGGCATTCGGAAAACGAAGAGTGGAACAGGCTAGCAAGTGTGCAGGTGTGCGTCGTATGAGAGGCCCCGCCTTACATTTTCCACCACAGATTTGGGGAAATTGGTCCGTGCGCAAAGCATTGTGGGGATTTTAAGACCGCAGAGTCTACACATGTGCAGTCTCGAAATTTCTCCAAACGAAGTACGCTGGGCTCGGTAGAATTCCAAGCATGCTGGACATTGGAACAGTCCTTCGGCGGCACTCGATGACGTCAGTGTTTCCCCTACCATAGTCTTGGCGGGGCGCTGCTCCCCGCCAACGGAGCCCCGCTCCCCGCCAACGGAGCCCCGCTCCCCGCCAACGGAGCCCCGCGCCCCCCCTGAAATTCAAGGTGTTTTAAAAAAAAAAAAAAATTATAATTATTATTCTTTTATTTATTTATTTATAGATATATATATATATATATATATAGCACCAAATTGCAACTAATCTATATCTACTGTCACTTTTCACATTGAACATGTGCTCTTTTATTAAATAAACTAAACGCTTTCATTGTAAGTTGTCAGTTTAGTGTTTTTGACCCTAACCCCTAGATTCCACCAGGTCCGTCTGCGTCGCGTTACGGCCGCGTTACGGCCGTGTTACGGCTGCGCCGCAAGGATCGCGGTCAATGGGTGCTATTCCACCAAACGCGCCGCGTTACGGCTCAGAAGCATCCCAGAAGCGTCTCGCCGCTGGGCTCCGCTCTAAATAGGATTGAAGTCTATTTTCGAGGCGTTGCAGAGGCGGCGGGCAGGAAGTGGACGGGTGACAGCATCCGGCCCATCCCCCAAATAAACTAATTTGCAGACCCTATCCCTTTTCGTAGTCTTTCAAGTAGGAGGAGAAATGTCAGTGTTCTCCTCCGGTTTACAGGCACTGTGTAAATTATAGAATAATTATGATGATAAATGCATTTTTTTACCACTAAAATACAGCAACACATCTTTGATTCATGTCGTTTATATCTGGGATATTGCAATTATTATTAACTTTGTCTACAAAGTAGTCTGTCCAGGAAATATGCCCAAATCAACAAAAACTGCGAGCCGGCAGGCAAGACGATCTGCTTCTGAAATGCTTATGAAACGCGCCCGGTAGGGTATGACGCCGGAGGAGGCCGGACCAAAAACCCTGGCGCAGACGGACCCGGTGGAATCGAGGGGTGAGACCAGGGCCGTCCCTGGCCAACATGAGGCCCCACGCAAAGTTATATGATGAGGCCCTCTGTTTCGCGAGCGTCGACGGCGGGGGGAGGGTGCTAGTGGAGCCTCGCAGCGGCGAAACCGTGCCACACCACACTAATGGCGCCGCATAAGCGCGCCGCATTTTCGGCTCAGTTGAGGCACCCTCCGCAAGATGAAGCCCCCTCCGCAAGATGAGGCCCCACGCAGTCTGCATGATCGGCCTGCAGGGAGGGACGGCCCTGGTTGAGACCATGACTCAGCACTTCTGATCAGTGATGATTGATTGATGTCTTCAGTGTGATTAAGCAAGTAAGCAATACAAATAGGTGAAATCTATTCCAGATCAAAGGAATGCTTCACTTCTCAAAGATTAACTACTCAAGACGTGATGAGGGGGGGGTCCTACATGCTATGCACACTGAGGTGTCTGAGGGGGAGTAATGTCATAGGAAGTACTTTGCAAGAAATTTGTATTTCTGTGAACCAACCCAAAAGGTGTAGTTTGGACCTGTGACACGTTTAATATCAGTAATAATTGAATAGAAAGTAGTAAAGCTATTGTTGCTCCCTCTTTTCAGCAGCGTAGTTACTGCACTAGTTGTCAAAGAAAGTATTGTAATCATAAGTATATATGTATATATACTGTATTGTTTGTGGGGAGTGTTTTTTGAAATCGGAAAAAAGTGGCCCAACCAGTTTTTCTAACGAAGTGACGCCCATGTACATAACAGTAGCAGCACTCTGGGTTTAGCATATTGCCAGAGAAAATGCTTATTTTCTCCCACTCTTTGTGTCCAAAGGTCAGTGGTGTTTAGTGTGTGCAGAAAGCATCGGTCCCACCGGCTGGGGAGGAAGTTTGAACCGTCCTGACTCCTGAGGTACAGCCCTGAACATCTGCCCTGCACACTCACCAACGCTCAGATCCTGCTTTTCATGCTGATTGCCGGTCAATGTTTGCCCTGTCACATTCCAACTGTGCATCCTTTCAGGCCTGGGAAACTCTCAGGGGGGATGAGCGCGCCTTTGTTAGGGATTAATTACACAGATCACGGCCTGTCAACTCCACATTTTGTTCAGCTCCCAAACAAAGAGCAGACCAGAGCTGCACAGGACAGGAGGAAACATAACTCGTGGTAAATGTAATCTGACTATAATGACAGACAAAGTTTTGATAACCTCGCCAACACTCAGACCAATTCAATTCACGCTTGGTGCGTGTTTAATGGGGTCCCGAGGGAGGGCAGATGTTTTGTACAAAACCACTGCCATGAACATGTTATGTTCTAAGTAAATTATTATACACAACTAAATGTTTCTTTAAAGTAAAAGGACCAAAGTGGGCAGTGCTTTTCAGGGGGCAACATGATGTTCATGTGTTACTGAGCATATAAGAGCCTGAGAAGTAAAGTGAGATTAATACATTTCTTCTCCTAAGGGAGGGCTTTTACATCTTTACACTTCTAAGTTTTTTCATATTATTTCTCTTGTTTGTCCCATATGATTAGCAGCATCTTAATGTTGAAATGTTGTTTCAGTCCATAAAGCTCCATAGTGAATGGTTCAATACTTGTTTCTCTAAGGACACGCAGTGTGTGAAGTGACAGGTTTCAGGTGATGTTACACACCATTACAACTTTTGAACCAACTAACTAAGAAAACAAATAAATAAAATAGAGTCACTGGCTTTTAAAATGTGTGTCTAATGACATTGTACAGGGCCATTGGGCAGAAGAGAGGGGTTCATTTCCGTCTGGTTATCATGCTTTATTTTTAAGCATCAGTTCGGAGCCCCTCAAAAAAAGTCAATAACTATTTCGCAATTTAGTAAAGTTCAGAAATGTTGTCCCAATCTCAAGCTGCCAAAAAAGAACTGGTTGGCCTAGTTGCCACAGACAGGGGAGGGACCAGAGGGTAATTTTGAGAGATCTCTTTATGATTTGTTTACAGAAATGCAAAAATAAAAATGTCAGTCTTTGCAATGCAGTTCAATCAGGAGACTTAGATTGTAGTTGGTAACATTTGTATTGCCGTATGCACAGTGTTCTGGAGATTAGACCCCGTCATACTGCGATAAATTAAGGGGGAGGAGAAGGCCACTAGAAAGCTGGAGGTGAAGGAGGGTTGCATCGGTTCTCTGAACGATGCTGTCAGGGGAGAGAGAGCCGATTTAAACGTTTGCCAGGTGTGCTGTGATTGGCTGTGGGGAATAAGACACAGCTGATTGGTTTAGCTGGGGTAAGTCTCGCCTTCCCTTATGAGAAAGGGGCGAGTGAGTGAGGGAGAATTGAGAATGAGAGCGTGGGAACCAGTCTTCCTGAAATAACTTGAGCTTCATATGATTTTATTTATACTACAATGTGAGGATCTACAGGCAGCCTAACATCTAATTGCCTCTTTGAGCACAACGCAGCAGTAAATCAAGTTACACAAGTCAGGAAACACCTAAAGCGTAACTGCAGGAATGATCAGCTACTTGTCACTTATTCTATTTTCCCAGTTCATGTGTGCCGGGCTGGAATGGGCACACCCAGCTAACATGCACAGTATTTTCATCAGTCCCACATCTCCTGATAATACACATGTTGAGAATTGACACAGATGAGGTATTGCCAACCTTTATTGAAACAGAGCCTTGGTACAAATTCGGCAATACAAAAAAAAAAGATCAACCTTACTATCTTGTACAACCAGAACTGCACATTGTGTTGAAATAAAGGGTCAATTGATCGGAGCACAAAAAGGACTCAATCAGCTGGGCCTGGATGAACAATCCACAGTGTATTGCATAGAAGAGTGTAACAAGTGACATACAAGTCACTACAGCGTTCCTGCACACATTTCGCCCGAGGAAGCCCTGCAGAGGCGGGGGAATATTCAAGGTCTGCTTAAATCTCTTTACGTACATTCCTCTAAATTAAAGTAAAAAAGCAACTCAGAAATCAGAATAAAGAACTGAGTTCCCTACCCTTAGCTCATCTCCAGTTCAAAATGATTAATACCCTGCACAACCAGACGCTAATACTGTGATGAAACAGAAGTGGGGGACAGAGGTACATTGTTCACATAATGCACAAAATAACCAACGAACATTATGAAGTGTGTTGAGCTAAAGTTGTGTAAACATTTGAATGAATGTAAACCAATTTCTCACAATGCATCAGCAAAAATGCTGAGTCACTTATTACAGACTATTGTGATGCATTCACAATCCAGGGAAACCTGAACCTCCTCCGGGGAATCTAACCGGTCCTCTCAAACTGACGAATGGAACATTACATGATGGCTCAGTGAAGACAATGAGGTAGTACAAATAAAAACAGGATTAAGATTCAGGGTTCAACATGTGTATTCAGACGTTTGGTTTTAGGGGGGAAATGACAATATTCAGCTGTGATTCACTGTGTTCCAAACCGCTCCGAAACTTCAACCAATCACATCTCAAAAACGGCTGTAACTGAATTTAGCAACACTTCAATTAAGTGTGATTATTCCTCAAGAAAAAAACGAATCTTTGCATCAAAGTTTACAGGATGACATCATTTAGCTCCTATAACATTAATGGCACCTATTCAAATTAACATTCAATCTTCAGTTCCCTTTAATAGTCATTTACACAACAAATCAATGGCCGATAAAATAATAAAACATATATCGTCTTCTTTCAAATGAACACATGGGAAACTTGGAAATCCATATTTTTCTTGTGGTTAGAAACCAAATTATTTATAGCATAAATCATTAATAATGCATTTGGACTGCAAAATAATACAAAAATATGACAGCTGCACGTCTGTGAGCCAAATTTAATCTGACTAGCAAATTCAAGGCACCATAGGTTTAAACAATGAGATTACAAAGGAACTCAAGGAGCACAATGAAGTCGCATCCAAATGAAAAAATAACCTGATCTCTGAAATCATGGTAACTAGTCGAAGGCAAAGACGTGTGGAAGCTGCACATATTCAGATTCGCCCACAGGCTAAATGGGATGGTTTTTTTTACGAGGGCTTTTCAAATGTATACCAAGGTGACCCACTGTAAGACTTTCAGGCAATGCTGTGAACCAATGGATGTCACATCTTTCCAACTCACAGGCTCTTTGCAAGTATTTCACTCACTAGATTAGCCAAAACTCTCAAACAGAGGAATATAAATAGTGGCTGTATTTGAGAGATGTGTATATATATCTAGATATTTATATATATAAATATCTATACACACACACACTCACACCTAATAACCAACCATGACTACTCCTATGTAGTGTTCTTCCATGTTAACCAACAGATTTGTGGAGTAAACTGCAACAGAAGGGCCGTTATGGTTTTCTAGTTCTTCCAGACCATGAAGCGGTGGTTTCTCAGAGGGCGTCACATGACAATGACGTGTACTAATGTATTGTTATGAGGAAATAAACCACCATACGGCTGGTAAGCATATGCAAGACAATCCTAAGTGTCAGCAACATCTGGCATGAGACCAGCCTTCACTGAAGTGTTGGACACAATAACAGAAACACCCCCACAGGAAGTGACATGTTTCTAGCAGTATTGTGAATCTAATGTCCCGGTGTGTTCATTTAATATGATTAAAATATCCGACACATGGAGATGACCCACGCTGTGAACACCTGCACATAAAGTAATCCGGCACTTAAGCTTACATTAAATCTACAACTTGTTATCCAATGGGAATTTCCCCACATCTTCATTATTTCCTGCTTTATTATCATTTTTAGACAAGACAAACATTCTCCATCAGCATTGGCAGATGATCACACTGTAAACAAGTTCAAAGAAAACACAAATCCCATTTTAGCATCCAAACTTCAGCTTCTCTTCACAGTCTTCAGGTTGAACAGTGAGCAGCTCCCGTAGAACGTCTGCGGAGGGAAAGAAGAAAGTAAAGTGGATCAACAACAGCAATACATCTCAGAGTTTACAGAGCGTCCATGTGGCCGCCTTTAGCACTCAGAACCATGCCTGTGTCTGGGATACTGTTAAAACCTCTGGAAGGCTGAGAAAAAGTATCAAGCACTAAACTCAACATGTCAACATGTTTACAAGAAATAACCAATCAACGGAGGATTGTCATGACATAACAGAAGACTACAAACTCCTTCTTCTGGTTCTGTACAAAAAGAAACATTTTGCTCCATTTCAACTGAATCTCAACTGAATCAGCAGTATGAATTGGGCTCTAAGAAATGATCACTATTCTCAGACCAGATGAATAGTTACCCCACCTAGAAATTGAATGGAAGGTTTACCAATACCAAAACAAATGCCTGCAGCCATAAAGCAATATCCAAGTTCCTCAGAAGATTTCTGTCATTATGCACACATCCAATGAGATCTCACCAAGTCCAATCCACAAGGCTTGGAGTTAAATGACAGGGCTACGAACTAGGGATGTAACGATATACCGAATATCGCGGTAAATAAACGTCTCAATACCGTCGTGAGACTGACGAAATCTACCGCGATCTTTTAAAAAAAAAATTAAAAACCTTTATTTAACCAGATGGTCCCATTGAGATCATCAATCTCTTTTTCAACAGAGACCTCTCCAACATGGCAGCAAGTAGGTTACAACATGAACATAAAACAACAGAACACAAAAGGACATCGTATTTACAGGGCTACATTTACACACCTAGAGACATTGACAAGTACCAACAGTATATTTATATCTCTGTCAATAAGCCTCACCTTCTTGGCAAAAACTGTATTGTTTTTGAAGTGGTGGAGAGACAATGCAGTTTGACCCACTGCTGTCACCCATGGCCAAAGCATATCTCTCCGTCCCACTGAGGTGGCGTTAGACTTTTTCGCTGTCCGTCATTTTGACAGACAGGATCGTAAAATGTCCGTCATAATCCCTTATTACCCGTCGGGTCTGAACAGTTCACGAGAGAGCACGCTCGTGAACTGTCAACGGGGGGGGGGGGGGGGGGGGGGGGGACAGTTCACATGCGCCGTGTTATGCATGGCTGCTGCACCTCGCGGGAGCGTGCACAGCGTCAAGCCAAAACTCACAGACATTTCAATGATTTGTGCGGCACAGTTAGGTTTGGAAACGGTATGATTTCCTTTTTGGAGGGCATGCATAACACGGCATAACACCAGAGCCTCGCTGCGGGGAAACTTTGTCACTGTTCTGAGTTTGTTCTAATCTGTCAAAATGACGGACTGCTTTCAGATTTGTCCGTCATTGTTAAAAAAAATCCGTATATATATATGTATATGTATATGTATATATATATATATATATATTGTATTCCAGTCTCCCTTCAGATATGTTAAGTGGCATGTCATTCAACACAATGCTGCTCACCTCCTTCAGTTGGGAGAAAAGCTGGTTCAGGTTCAGCCTTATGGGGGGACAGGGCTGCTGAGCCTAAAGATGGATCTGTTGGTCCTGGCACCAGGGGGAGGGACAACTGATTGAGTATGAATAGGCGCTAAAAATGTGCCTGCATTTATTAAAGGTAGGTAGGTAAGAATGGAGAAACCAGCTCGAGTGCGCTAGAATTTGAAAATACACAACCGAAAAAAATCTGCCCCTTCCTTCAGAGTTCCTGACAGAGCCCCTCCTCCAACACACACGAACGCGCACATGACCAATGAGGGCACAGATGGAAGGCTGACAGGCAGGTAGGCCATCCAGTCATTTTTGCCGGGCCGGCTCAGATGATTGATCGTGCTTTTTACAGCGTCACGGCTTCCACAGATGATATTTTTGTATGGATTTTTTGTCAAAGCATTTAATATATTCATTGCTATCGGGATGTTAAGAGCATTCCATGGAATATAACAAAAAGTGTTTCTGAAGTGAATTACATACCATACCTTTACATATCAGCTAAAAGAGCAGTGAAATGAAAGACCTCTGAAATTTCTGTAAAGATATTAACAGTACTTAATGTCAGCTTAGTAAACAAAAAAACATTAGCTAACAGACTAATTTCCACCACTCATGGACCACACCCACCTTTTCTTGTGAAAAACTGGGTGACATACTGTCGACCTTTAGTCCCTCTCTCTTGTCTTTCTCTCCTTTCTCTTATTTTCTTACAGCCTGACTTTGTTGGTCGTTGAAACCATAGACTGTATATATAAAGGGTACAACACACGTATGTAGGCTAAGTACTAGCATCCCTTCTCACATGCTTTCACTCTCTGCAAGTGCCGCACCGCGTTTGGAGGCAGGACCAAACCATTACATGTAATTAGAAGGGGGTGTACAGAGGCTTTGGGTAATTCACTTTTGGAAGAAAATAAGTTAAATGAATCGTAAGTTTAGTGAGTAATTTATCAATATAACGTTCTATTAATGTTAATTATTGAGGATTGATGAAAGGTTACTTACTTTTTTTTCTTAATGTTCTGAACATTTTGGGGCCCCCGTCAGTCATGGGCCCTTAGAATCGTCCTAACTTTTCACCCCCTTACGGCGCCCCTGTCTATACAGCAAAGTACGGTTTGGAAACTATATCATTTCCTTTTGGAGGGCATGCATAACACGGCATAACACCAGAGCCTCGCTGCGGGGAAACGTTGGCGCTGTTCCGAGTTTGTTCTATACGTCAAAATGACAGACTGCTTTCAGATTTTTCCGTCATTGTTAAATAAAATACGCGACCACTGCTGTCCCAGCAACATCAGTACCAAGCGAGAGAGTTTTTTCCAGAGCAGGGGATATTGTAAATGCCCAAACATCCCAGCTTAGAAATACCTGGAAATGTGGACATTCCTAAAAACCTGTCTGATGATGCTGAGTGAGTGACTAGTGAGTTTGAGTTGAGTTACTAACTCAAACTAAAGTGACACTTCATTTATTTTATTGCAGGGTCTGATTATTAAATGTCCTTGTTTATTTGTGAGATGCAGTGGCACAAAGAAAATGCCTACTTTGTTTGGTAGTACTAGTACAGTAGGTACAAACACACTGGTTTTCTTGTTCCAGTCTGTTACTGTCACTTTGTTTTTGACACTGTAAGATACTGCTATCCTACTAAAATGCTGTACAAATCAGATTTATTATGTAATAAAGAAACATTTTCCGAGTAAAAAAAATTGTTATTGAAAAAAGAAAACTGCATTTTTTTTCTTCCCTTTATTATTCAATATCGCGATAAATACCATACCGTGGACTTGTTATCGCGATATTATCGTACCGTGAGTTTTTGGTATCGTTACATCCCTACTACGAACTATATATTATTATAACAATACTGTATGAGAGGGGAGTTTTAGATATTGTTCAATCTTCAAGCATCTTGAGTATTTATTTCTGTAAGTTGGTGTTTAAGGCTACGTTACAGTAAAGTGATTTTAGAAAGTTACAGTTCTAGCTATTCCATTATCTGCCTTACCCACTTATTTATGCACATTCCCAATAATTATTTGTATAACAAAAAAACCTACAAAATGTATCAGAGGTATTTGATCAAACACATTGAGCAGATGTGTGTGGCATAGAGAGCTTACTCACATTCCACCAATGTGAAACTCTTACTGTGCAGCAATGAGCGAGTGAAGGTTGCAGTAGCTTAAAGGGATAGTGGAAATCCGGGAATTTTGGGTTTAATTTATGTATTTTTATTAAAAAGAAGCATAAACAATTTTTTTTTATTTCATGCGCCTAGTTTCATTTTATTTTCAATTTTACTGCGCCCTCTCAATGAAACGAAATACTTCGGGAATCGTCGGGAATCTTCGGGTGATGACGAGAGCATAGGAAGACGGGCACAAACAATGGCGGACATTCAATAGCATTTGCATGTGAATAGCCGACCTTTATTATGGTGAATAGATGTGTTTTGTATGGCTGTAGTGCGACAGAAAAATTCTACGTGACACAACGACATTGGATTAACCTTGAGATGCGTTTTTATTCCGTTGAACACAACTTTTGATCACAAATCAAAAAAGGTAAGACGTAATTATTGTAATATTTTTGGAACCGGATGTTGTTTACTTTCTCTTTTCTGGCTGATAGCTCCAGGAATTCGAGGTCTTACAGTGATGACATTACATCTGTGGAGTCTCAGCTTTAAATCGTATATCTTGTTTGTGCAGTTAAGATAGTAATAAGGGCATTCTACCGTGTGTTGTGTGTAAAAAAGCGTTGGTAAAACTGTGAAGTAACACTTTTTTTGTGTGAAACCGCTCAATGAACTACATCTCCCGTCTCGCACCACACACCCAGACGGCCGTCACGTTGGCACATTTCACTTCTTTCTTTCAGAATGAGGCGAAAAGTATTAAAAGAGGTGAAAATCACTACTCTGGGCATGTTGAGAGCTGTACATACACACAAGGGGAGTTAGTCGGTTGCGTAAGAGCCAGCATGCAGGACCGGGATTCTGGGATTTGTAGTCTTTCTAGTTGCATATTGTTCATAGTCTTATATTTCAACAGTTTTAAGACAAACTGTGACTTTTTTGACATGGAAATTATTTTTTAAGATTGACAAACATCGTGTGTGTAATTCATGGCACAATTCAAACGGGATCGAAAGATACGTTTTCTCTCTCCATTGACTTCAATACATACTTTTTCCCAAATAAGGTCCCATTGAGGGACTTCGTCTCGCTATAGAGGTCACAGGCCTGCTGTCAATCAAAGGGGGGGGGGGGTGTGCTGGCTGTAGCCTGGGAGGTCCTGCACTCCAGCTCACATCCAGTGTAAAAAGCCCTGTTTTAAGGCTCCTCAGTGAGCGTGCAGCAGAGAGGATGCAGGGGCAGTCTCTGTGTTCCTGCAGCACCATGAGAGGGACTGCTGTGTTAGAGATGTGCAGCCGCTTGGCTTCACTCAGATACCGCGTGTGTGCCCAGCTATGCCGTCATAGATTTTCCGCACGCACACTGTTACATAA